CCAATGGGAGCCTCGTCGAAGCACGCCAGCCAATGGGACCGAAGTGTAAAAGCTGGCGTTGGCTAGCTTTGCGCGTGGTTTCATTAGGGCGCCGTTTTGCATGGTTTCAAAGATTATGACGTCGGCTCGCTCTATGAGACATTGAATGTTTTCGCATTAAAACAAAACGTCGCGAGTAAAATGGTACTTCTCACAACATTCCAGTTGCTGCGTCAAGTACTTTGAAGCATGACTTAATAGCCAGTTGACAGTTTGTGGCATTTAAACTGTTTGCGATGTAATGAAAGCTGATTAATATTTTCAAAGAAGTGAAAAAGCTAAAAAATCATTTTTCTTTTAATTTAGTATAACAATAGGTAAATTTATGCTAATATATGCATTGCAACAAATTATAAGGAGATTCTGTAGACCCTTAATGTTCGGAAGCCTGTAATTTTCGCGAATCTTGAGAATTCGAAAATTCGCAAAATTTAAGGGCATGAGAACATTTCGATCCTTAAGAGTTTTAATGGAGGCGTCTGGAATTCGAGGAATTTAGTGGCCGTGATTATGTCCCCTGTGGCCGATTTGCGAAAAGTAGGGGCCGCGAAAATAAAGGTTTTTGCAGTATAACCTCGTAATACAAAGTTTTTTTTAGTGATTTAAAAGAAGCTTTTGGTCGCTATAAGGATTCTTCAAACCGATTCAGTCCAAGCACATAACTGAAGATTTAACAATAAAATACTGATAAAACAACCAAAAAGGGAGGATTTCATGCCAGAAAACTATACTACAAAAAGATTACGCTGATTTGTGAGCTTGATTCCAGCCTCCAACGAAAAAGAGATATATGGCAAATTCTAAGGCAATTCTGTTGCATACTTGAAATGCCCTAGCATCGCGCACATTTAGCAATTCTCTGGGTTTCCAGACGGCAGAGGCCGACACTCATGGCGTTCTTCATCAGCGTTTAACGCGTACTAACTGTATAATTTATAGGTGTTTTTAGAATTAAGCGATACGTACCGCGATTCAGGCTAATAAAACTGGCGATTTTCCAGAGCTTTCCATAGTTCTAGAGATCCTATATCTCACAGCGCAGAGGCGGTCGAACTCCTTCTCGCCTAAACCTCTAGTCACATGACCTCCCAGTTAAGCAATCAGCGTCGGGCACCCAAACAATTTATGTCAAACCTCGTGGCCACACATTTTTCTAGGTTTCACGAAATTCCGAACACCTAGCCAGGGAACGTTTCACGTAAATACAGAACTGCAGTAAAAACGCGAACCAGTACGAACTATGGTATCCACTCGAGCTGTAAAATTTAGAGTGGTGTTGGAGTTTCGAGATATGTTGGTCATAGGGCATAAGCTATGTCGCTACTGATTGAGCCTGACCTACTTCAGGAGACGTGCGAGTATAAGTGCTTTCCGACATCGGTGTATTCTCTGCTAGATTGACAGACTACGTAACAGATTAATTCAGTGGAATATATTTGCAATACTTGGAGAGCTACATAGTAGATACATGAATTAATAAAGAAATGCTTAAAAAGCGTATTACTTTTTTTAGATAATTGCACAAACTAAAGATGCATAAGTTAAAAAGATTACAAGTTTTCCTCTAACTAAACTGATCTCACATTTTAACATAACGTTTTTTGCGAACGACTCGTGGGCATGAACTTGGAAAAGAGGTCTCGGCAGCTTTCTCGGAGGATTGCTCTGGTGCACCCGAACACCCTTCAAGGACTTTCCAAATGCAAAACCTGGTAGGAGAGCTTAGGACTATAGTTTGTTGGCGGCATAAGAAACGTAGTACAGCGACATTTCTCAACCCACTCTTTCCACCTTAGCAGAGCGAACACCTTAGAATAGGTCAGTGGAAAGGAGGATACCGCAAATTATTGTGGCCAGAGAGTTTTTGGGGAGCGCCTTGTGCCGCGTTTATAAACCTGCAAGAGACTAGTTTTTTTATCTATTTTTTTTATTAGCACTCCTTATCTTCATATGTATATTTTAGTGATTGAGCGAAGGGTCTTCGTTTATTCATTATGTGTTTACAATATATTTTCCAAGAAAAAGGGTAAGTTAAAAACAAATTCCTCTACCCATATTAGGCGAGAGGCCAAGAGCTCAGGAGCAATTCCACCCACTTCTTTTCACTCCTGCAGACCGAACGCTGGAGAGGAGGTCGCCTCCTCTGCGGCGCTCGCTCTGCTAAGGGGAAAGAGGAGGGAGCAGTTCACCCTGAGCTCTTAGTATTAAACTCTCAACTTTTATATTCAACTGATGATATTCACTTTGGATATAAAGGTTAAGACTTTTGAGGCTATAAACACTCGGATTTCGTTTACAATCTGTTTACTGTAATGGTTGAATTCCATCAGGAACCAAGAACGTATATTTCACATTTTTTAGAATCTTTAAAAATTTAGAAGAGCATGTTCGCAATTTACGCGCACATATTACGGGCAACCACCAAAATTTCTTGCGCAAAGGATGCCGCATCCACAGCATGAGGAACTTCGGCTTCATCAGTCCACATATGTGACACTATAGGAGCATAGAAACACTTTTACGAATAGTATATTTGCAGAGCTCAACTTACCCAACATTTAAAATCATACGGCGTATCCTCTAAACAAATTTAAAGATCGTTCACCTAAAAAAAAAAAATACATTGCATCGTCAAACGTTCAGTGTCCGCTCAAATGTAGCACTAGGAGTGCGAACCAGATTCCAATGTTTGAGAATTTGCCATCTTATTTGAAAATTATAAGTGATTTTAACGAAGTTCCAAAGGGAAGTGAGGCCCGTTCCTTTAAACTCACGCCATTCGTACCCATGTATTCGTGGGCAGTGGTTCCTCTATATAAAATTGACGAAAATAAATTGTAAGTTATAACATTTGAATCAAACAAAGACGAGCTAAGAAACATTGGCATTTTGTCAAAACGGCTTGAGCTAATTTTGAGTGCCAACTGAGCGTTTGGCAATGCATACTTTATTTTTGCCGTACAAAAAAAAACAATACTTTCTTCGATTTTTTAAGGGGGGGGGGGGTAGCGAGGAGGGAGAGCGAAGGAGTACTTTGTAAAAAATGGTGAGTGTGCAGTCAGATGTATAAATGGAACATGTACTGCCATTGATTTTAACAGAACATTGTTTAATTTGAACATCATGGCACACTCCCGACGCTAGCAGCAAACAGGACTTGTACCATCCTAATCGTGTGCGGCACGGCCACATGCTAACCTTGTTGCCACAACATTTCCCGTACTAAGGAAGTATGGCACATGTTATGCAATTCAGTTCTATAGAGCATGTTGTGACAACAAGGTTCACACTCTTGCAACCTCTTAGAACTGGGTGCATTGAAACCTCTTAATATCTCTTACAACGAGTGGGCACTCTGGCGCCATCTATAGGGTAGCGGTGTAAACTTGGCGGTCCGGCATATTTTCAATTCCTCTCGCGCATTACCCTTTCTTTCTTGGCTCAAAAAACTTTTGTCAACGTTATAAACACGCCCTTCTTATAGGTATTACGTAAATTTGACGTCGGGTTTCCCGCAAAACCTTCGCTCTTGTGAAATGCAGTTCCAGGGTCACCGCATAGATGGCGTTAGAGTGCCAGTCTGTTCTCTCGTCGTAAGAAATTTTAAGAGGTTTCAACAGGTCTCTTCTCTCTCGGTCGTACTCGATTGCAAGAGTGTAAACGGCCCTTAACAGAGATATTTACCGTACTTAAAAGGTCCTTTTTTAGCAGTGTAGCTGCCTTTGACTCGACTCACTCTTCGAACGCCGGTGTACGGCGTTCGCATTCGAGCGCGTTCGAAGAGTGAGTAGACATGAAGGCAGCTATCCTTTACGTCTACCCATAAAGCGCCATTCACACATTTGCAACCGAGTAAGACCGAGAGAGACCAGACCGTTCTTTAAGCCTTTTGCGACGTCTTAGGAGTGGTTGCGCTGCAGTGGAGCAGGTCCGAAGACCTCGCAAAAGGCTCAAAAACCGGTCTGGTCTCTCTCGGACTTACTCGGTTGCATATCTGTGAACGGGCCTTTACCCTTTCCACTCACGGCTCGGCGCTCTGGCGTCCCCACGCGCTTTCGTCTCCTTTCTCTCAATTTCTACCCGTATAGTCACGGACAAGATGAAGGGAGCATCAAGGTGCTTCAGTTGTCCCGCCTCCGCGACCAGCATCCCATAGAAGACAAGGCCTGCGCATGACGTCATCGTATGTGGATCCCGGACCTGCCCTCGAGCGGTGAACAATGAAGCTGAAGCTCTAAAAGCAGCAGACACGTTCGTCTTGGCGTCGTCGCGTCACGCCCGTTGTGCTTCGATGCGTGGATCCACTAGTGACTACGTTTTGGGTTGTGTGGGAGAAGGGGGGGGGGGTGGAGGGGGAAGTCGCAGGCCTTGCTTTCTGGGGCGTATCGCTCCAATACAAATATTTTTTTATTTTTTTTTTATTTTTTTACGCTTTGGTGTTTTGTGATTTTCGAGCGTGCACGCACAGTCAAAGCAAGGCGGAAGTCAACGAGCATGTTCTGGAGGCCGGGCATTTGAAAGAGACGTCCTCCCGTTCTTACGTTGTCAGGGACTATAGAAGACCCATGCGGCGGCGCCTATCTCGCGTCTGCGTCGCTGCGTGCGCGTCTTTTTGCTATGCGTCTCCCAACGACCGCAGTGTTTGCAGACGGCGTCGCCAAGGCGCACTCGTCTGCCGCTTTGCCGCTTGCTCTGATTCTTCACCGTGTTTGCCGCTTGGGGCAGATAGAGCACTCATTATTATGAAATAATGAGAATTTCCTGTTTCTTGTAATTGGTGCCAGGCAAAGAATTGGGAGCAAGCTCCTTCGACCTTTTCCACTTCAGTAGAGCGAACGCTCAAGTGGAGGTCACCCCCTCTCTAACAGTTGGTCTACTAGAATGGAACGATGTGGGAGGAGTTTGGGCCCGAGCTCTTACCTTGTCGCCGAATCTAGGTGGTATTGATTGAGCCCGCTTACCCGTGGCCCGAGGGTGCGATGAAGTAGAGGCAACAGTGGACTCGGCCGTCGGAGAGCGCTGAGCGGTGCACACGCGACTCGGCGTCCAGGTAGGCGGCGAACTGGGCTTCGACGTAGTCCGCGACGGGCTGCCAGCACTGGCTGTTGTCCACGGCATCCCCGAAACCCGGGGTGTCCACCACCGTCAGACAGAGGTGCACGCTGCTTTCGCGCAACACCACGCGCGTTGTCTCCACCTGCACCGTCTTCTTGACCCGCTGCGAGGGACCCGGGTATTCGTTCGAGTAAACGTCCGTCAGGAACATAGAATTGAGCAGCGTCGACTTGCCCAGTCCGGATTCCCCTGCACACAGGCAAGTGCCCGAGTCACTCCCAAGCCTCCCCAGGTGCGGAAAGGATGAACCTTGCGCACGCGGTGGCAAACCTAGCAACACCGAAACTTCACAAAGCCTATGTGGAGAGGAAGTCGTCTGCTTCTTAAATAGGAGTTGCGGTGGCGTAAGAACGTCGCCGAGCTCGGATTAGCTTCGGTTGAAAGGATAGTGAGTGCCAGATGCTTTGAGGTCCACCCACTTTTTTTTTAATCGGCCAATAAAGGCATGGCGTTCTGACATCATCGCAACCCCCGTGCAGGAAGCAGACCAACTTGCGCTCCTCATTCATACACGTTCTCTCTTTAAGTGTCCCGAATATTGAGCGAACAATAAGTCACGACTCTTGTGTATACTGTTTCGGGCTCCATTTTACAAGAAGCTGTGCTTAGCAGCGACTTTCGTCGAGCATTAGCGTGTTTGCCACACGGGGCGGATCGGGTATCTGCTAAAGATGACGTCTTGCGAAATTCCTTGCAGTCTAGGCGGCATTGGTCAGAGTCTGCAGGATTCGAGGGACTGCAATGTCCCCCTTACGATGTGTTTCGGCTGAGCATGACCCATCCACCTTACCGACCACCATGAGGGTGAACTCGAAGCCCTTCTTGACGGCTTTCCGGTACACCTGGTTGGGCAGGCTGGCGAAGCCAACGCAGCCCTCGGCTTGCCTGCACCCATTGGTGGCGTAGGGGGAAGTGCCTTCCTCCTTGGGTGCAGATGGCGAAGCGAGGCCCGCGCCCAGCGTTGCCGCAGCTACAGTCGTTGGAACTCCGACCGTGCTCGACGCAACGGGGCTCTCACGGAAGAACATCTCTCTCTTGAAAGACAGCTGCTGCGATTGAGACAGAATGCACACATGAGGTCGCCTCTCATAAGACGCACTAAGCTAAGGCCTTAAGTGACAGGCCCCGGATTTGTCTAGGGTTACATTTCTGACGCATGAGCCCTGCGTGTCCCGGCCTCTCAACCTCGCCCCGCTATGGATTAAAAATTAAAACAGCGCAAGGACACGGACAAGAACAAGAAGGTAGACGAACAAGCGCCTTGTTCGTCTACTTTCGTGTTCTTGTCCGTGTCCTTGCGCTGTTTTAATTTTTAATCATGAAATACCAACTAGCCCAAAGTTCCACGTTAGTCAACCCGCTATAGAGTTTTTGAGCATATATAATGTATCTGGCTTCACCAGCGGCAGACCCCTGACCACTAGTATATCGTATGGGTGTAGTATTTTATTTGCCTCTTTATTGAGCTGGAGCCACAATGTGTTCTGATGACGAAGAAAGATATATTCGTATTTAGTGCTGAGCAGCCATGGCCGCCTTCCAGCGAAAATAGACGTTTTTCGTTTCCATTTGTTTTCAGTCCTGTGAGTTCCATATCAAGTGTGCGGGAGGAAAGAATCATAAGGCATTTCAACCTGGAATGTACGAAAAAATAGAGGTGAGGCAAAACAAGAATGTATGACAATCACGCATTTCTTGTTAACACCTTCCAGCGGCGTGGAGAGATCAAACGATGTTTTACCGCATACCAGAACTGACGACATTCAAGATGGCTGCCCTCTTTTGGAAATGGTGTATTCGCGGCGTGCGCGATCGAAAGCGTCGCTGTGGTCGGCCTTCCACGATTGGCCGAATGCTGACTATGACGTCAGCAGGGGGATTTCTCTTCGTCGGATATAAACGTCATGGAAGAACTTCAACTTTGACGGCGTTGGAACTGTTCGTCTTAGAGCGCAGTGATTTCACACTTTCCACCATACTAATTAAAAACACCATCAAACTTCGCAAGGTAATGACGTCACGAAAGGGAACCATAGGGAGCATTCACTGGTGGCTATATCTGTGTGCGTGGTGGCTGAGCGCGTGCTGACGGCGAGCGTCCACAGTTCTTTTGCAACGTGCATTCCACACCATCAAGATTGCCGGTCTTAGCAGCCTATTGATGTAAGCTCGTTCTGAGCATGCGCTTTAAACAGCACCCACAAATATGGCGTCCAGTGAATACTTTCTATAGGAGGGTAACACCAAAACCTCTCGCCACTAATAGACCAGCCGACGTCACGAACGTTGGATCTCACAGCCGGTTTTATTCCACGCATCGTAAGAACTGTAGTTTTTTCTACAGGTGCGACAACTCCGCTGAGGGATTGTGCGAGCAGAGCACGAGGCGGCACGAGCTGTCTCGTGAACTGGCGCCTGCCTGCTATGAACTACAGTTATGGCGGCGTCACGCATGCGTGGAACGCTTGGTGAAATCGGTCTTTTGGACGAAGCACACATCCCAAGGCGCCTTAAAAGCAGCCGTTTGAGGATAATGACACCACTGTAGTAGTTAACAAATGATTAGAAAATCGCAGTATCGCGTTACCACAATACCGTGTCGGACATTCTTGAATCGGAACCGCGCCGGGGACGTGCGGCAAAAAACGTTGCAGCTAGGATTCCGTGTTTTCTGAGCTTTTTCTCGTGAAATTCGGAGGGTGTTTTTCGAAGTTTCTTTTTCGCTGAGTATTCGGGGTTTATCGGAGTTAATTTTTGTTAGTTTCCGAATTCTCTGGAATTCCGAGTTCATTTTGATGGGTAAAATATAAAAAAAATTCAAAAATCAAATAAATGACCTCCGGGTACCATGACCCTTTGTTCATGAAGGAACCTTGGCGTGCTAAAAGGGTAGATTTCAAAGAAAACTGACGTGGAATTTCCACGGGACCATTGACCTTGTGCTCTTAGAAACGTTTCATTGTAAAACTCTCTCTTTTTTCTGTCTATTTTCCCGCCATGACTTCGAAGTTCGGAGTTTTTCAAATAAATCCGAACAAACGGAAAATTTATAGGAGAGTGTTTTTCGGATTTTTGCGAATTTCGGATATATCCGAAAACACGGATCCCTAGTTATAGACAACCACCGCCATAGACCGCGTTAAAAGAAAATACAAGAAAATGCTGACGACGATAATTAATGATTCCACGGATGGTATGCGGTGCGTGCCCAGCCCGGTTTCACAATGGTGATAACGGTTCCAGTATTATAATACCGCTGTACCGAAAATTTTTGTTGGGATAGCGATCACTGTGTGCGAGCATGACCTACGTAAGAAGGCGGAGTCACCAGTGCTCGTCGCTCGTGCACGCTAGCGGAAACAGTATTAGCGAGTTTTAGGGAACCGTTTTTGCACATCCGATACTCTACGACAGGTCTCCCGGTACGAGCAGAGAGCTCCACCTGTAATGGAGAGGTCCCGGGTTCGATACCCGGACCAGGCGGACTTTTTCGGTTGCGTATATGCGCGTCTTCGTTGGTAGCGCATGCGCAGTTCGTACCGGAGGGATGATCCTACGTAGTGGATGTGCAAAAACGGTTCCCTAAAACTCCCTACTATTTGCGTCTCCAGCTCGACGCTGGCCCTCCCGCGGCGGAAACGGAAGCACTCTAGTGAGGGTCCCCCGATTTCCCTGCTCAGCGGGCAAGGCGGAACTGCACGCGATCATGGCTCGCGATATGTCATTTCCGAATGCAAACAACACTCTTTACTGTCCCAACGCAGCGCTGCAGCCGGTATGGGATTGTACCTTATTGGAGGATTTTAGTCTTGCGCATAGAATGCTCATAGAAGCAAACGCAAGCGGTGTGCATTTGGGATAGAGTTGCGTGCCCCGCGTTGTGCGTGCGCCTCATCGCCATGCGCCATCCAAGACCGCAATTTCGGGCTCCGCGCACGCGCAGTGTGGAACAAGCAAAACTAACGCAAGAACACAGCGCTTGCGTTCGCTCGTATACGCAATGCTACAACTTACTACTGTTTTACCGGTTTCCAACACCAACGAAACGTGCTGCAGTGAGCAGACGTGCAAGCAGGTATACGTTCCTTCGAACTGGAAAGGCTGAGATTGGCAAAACGACGGAGCGTAAAAACGAAAGTAAATAAATGTTATGAAAAAATTGGTAATAAAGAAAAATAGTTTTTTTTCTTTTTTGCTTTTGGGCATTTGGTCTGGCAGGATATTGGCGGCGTCTTTAGACGTTTTGCCGATTGTCAAAAGTCGCTACTTTGATAGCAAAATATATTTTACCCACATTTAAATTAATTTTAGATGGATGTCTCACATTAGCCCAAATGTTTTCGATGATTTTAGACACAATTACTCGGTAATTCAAAATGCTGCAATTGGCACCAGTGAGAATAATTAGCACACTTTTGATTGTCATATTTGCTTACGCGTTTGAAATTAGATCATAAGCAACAAATTATATTAGAACTTGAAAAATTTCGTATTAAAATATCTGAAGTTTGATATTATTATAATAACACAAATTGCGGCAATATATGCCTCCGATTAACGCCACATAATAGTCTTTCTGAAAAAGGTATAATTTTGTTTTCTTTTTAGCGTATGAAAAACTCTGACATCGTTATCAAGATAGACAAACAGTCAAACATTGGATGTAACATAAAGTCATATGCGTCACGCGTCGCTATAAAACACACGCACTTCAACCGTCTGACTCGAATTCCCCGCTCATTCACACTGGAAGCGGATCCGCGTTCGCAAAGCGGTTGCGAACGCGGTTGTATAAAGATCCAGTACAATTGCACGCGCACTCGATGACGTCAAGTGCGCGTGCAATTGCACTGGATCTTTATACAACCGCGTTCGCAACCACTTTGCGAACGCGGATCCGCTTCCAGTGGGAATGAGCGGTTAGGGTTGTTGCAGTGAGAACAGCGTTCATTAATTTATACGCTTTGTGGACATATTGTAAAAATTGGAATTCTTTTATTCTTGTGCCGGGAATAATTTTACCCAATTAATCATCTAAATACCCAAAAACCCATCAAAAGGCCCGCAGTTTATCATTTCCCACGACAAATTTCTGAGCGAGAAAACCAGCCAGAGCGCACAAATATCGGCGCTGATTATTTCAGCTACAAATATCAGCCTGGATCGAATATGTATGTCACAAAATAAAGCGACCGTGAACTTCTCTAACTAAATAATTACGATGTGAGACACATCTTGAGTTAAGAACGAATCCGAAATTAAGACCTATATCGAGAAATCAAATCCAAAATAGAGATTAGTTTCGGTTTCACTCCAGAATTAAAACGCGCATCCTTGCTTAAATATTACGCTAAACACCGTTCTTTTTCTTAGGATAAAGAGGGGACCTGCGCTTACAACACTTCAGCTTCCTCGTATCAGCAGAAATAAATTGTGTCGCTCAGTGAAGCCAGCACACTAGACAGGCTCAACAGCCGCACGCATCTCCGACCCTCACTATAACCGCCATTTTGGAAAATGAGTGGCGCCACCTATAGTTAGTTGGAGTCGCGAATAGTAGGGAATTGTAGTACACCGTTCACGCAGCCCGCTAAGCATCCGGATGGCGCTCCGTAATCCGCCCCAAGACCTTGAAGTATGCAGACAAGGCTGACGGCGCGCATGCGCAGCTGCGGCGTCTTCTTCGGGGATACCGTAGCGGAGGAGAAAAACGATCTACTACAACTCCCTAGTAAGAGATACTACGGAAACGGGGTTACCGGTAACGCCACGCTAATCATTTGTACAAGAGAGTAAGCAGCGGTAGGAATCTGACTTACGGAGGAGGGCGGAGTCAGCGGGGCTTGTCGCTCGGGCAACGGCGGCGGCGCGTCTGCCGGCGGGTTCTCGTAGACGCGGGGCCGGCCGGAGAAGCGCTCCAGTCCGGCGTAGCGGTAGTTGAGTCTGGCCGCGGGCACGTCTGCGGCGCCGGAGGACGCCGAGCGCCGCGGCAGCGAAGGCATCGGGCGCGAGAGCGACGCCGCGCCGCCATAGCCCGGGCTCCAGCGAGGTTCCAGGGTCGCAGCGTTGGGTCGCTATGGGACCGAGGAAGGACCGCAAAAATACACTGGGGGAGCTGCGACGCGTCTTCCGGATTTTTCGCGATCAGCGACTGATAACGTCTGGATAAGTCGCGTATGCTGCGTGAATGACGAGTCGTCGGCTTCGTCAGAAAAGAAACCGAAGAACTCAAAAAGGCAGTCTGGAATTGCAACGCTTCTTGCTGATGTTTTTGGAGTGGCAGACGACTTCCGGAAGACTTGCGTGCGCTGCGTAGCTCCACAGTTGGCTGCTTCCTCCCTTAAAACTAAAGAAATAAAAAACAAACAAAAAAAACACCGCTGGTGATTAGCTGTGTCTTTGGTATTTTGGTACAAGATGACGTCTGCAAGACTCGCGTACGCTCTGTGACTGCGACTTCGTCGGATAAAACCGAAAAACGCAAAAATGCACTGTGGAGTGGCAGCGCGCTTATTACGGATGTTTTGGAACCATACGTGGATGATGTCTTGAAGACTGGCGTACGTTGAATAGCTCCAGAGTCGTCGGCCTTGCTCGATGGAATCGACGAACTCAAAAATACTCTGTGGGCTTGCGACGTTTCTTGCCGGTCCTACGAGACTAGCTGCAGATGACGGCAGGAAGACTCGAATACGCTGCGTGGCCGTGGCTGCTTGGCACGAGAGTCGGCGGACGATGGGGGGCCTTCGCCTGAGTGGAGAGGGAGATGCGTGGGAAGGAGAGGGTATCGCCCCCAGACTCGGGGTGCACGAGGAAAGAAGACGCCGACAAACAAAGGAGTAAAAAAAGACGCCAGCACCGAAAGGAAAGTGGCCCAGACTTCTGGGGAACACGCGGCCCGCTTGTGCTCCGTCCTGCTTCCTCTCTCGGATGGAGGAATGGTTGGCAGCCGTCGCTCAGATAGGGCGCGTGCCCGAGAAGCGGACATCTGCTGCTGCCGCCATGAGGGTTCCGTGGGGCGGGAGAGAAGAGCAAGGGCGGCGGGCGGGGAGACCAGGCTGCAAATGGTTTCACGGTCGCGGGGGCTGGAAGGACGGGAGGCCAGAAAAAGAAAACAACGAAACCATATGAATCAAGAAGAACGCATCCCGGAATAGGCGTTTGTTGTCGTATTCACCCCAGTCAGCTGGGCGCCACAAGTTGTATACATCCAGCTTTATAAAAAAAAAAAATTAAAAAAAAGAACGTCATTTGGCACGGACATTTTCACATTTCACAACTCCATAAAAATGTTTTTTTTTTTTTCTTTACACGAACTTTAGAGCATGTAGTTGTCTCAAATGTACCCGTTCTTAGGAGGGATCGGTGGCCGAGCGAGCTAACGGATGTCAGCTCGGAACGTGGAGCGAACACTTGCGCTGCGGAACCTCCTGGGCTCGATCCCTACACCCCTCCCGTTTCGATCTGGATGAGTTTCGTACCGTCACGCGTTCGTGTAATCACTACTAGACCTCTGTACGAGGCTGGGCCAACCGGAGAGCCCGGGCCGGCACGCGGGCCGGGTGGCAGGGACTCTTTCTGGGCACGGGCCGGGCTCGGGCAAAGGTGAACCACAATTTCTGAAACGTTTCTTTCTTTCAAATCTAAACGATCATTGCTGACGCACTTATTGTTTAGATGTCAAAGAAACAAAAAAGCCGAAATGCGAACTCGCTACGACGCCACTAAGAAAACTTAGCAGTAAAGAAAACTGTCTTACTAAGGTACCCCGCAAAAAGATGCGAAAAAAATCCCGGGGAATCCATCAGTATACTGGTTTACAGACTTGGAAGTAATCCGTTACAAGTAACGGAATTACTTGTAATTAATTACTTTTCTAGTAATCTTGTAATTGATCCGTTACTTTTTTGAAAATGTAATTTGTAATCTAATGTCATTACTTTTTCAGTAACGCGTTGCTGAAATTACTCGTTACAATTTTTCCGCCCCGTCAAAGGGAAAAATAGAGAGGAAGAAGGGCGATGCAACGGCCTTCGCGCTTCTAGCATGGTAACACAAGACGGGGGTTCGCTCGCGAAGAGATCTAGTGCTGGCGAAGGAAAGGAATTCACGGAAACCGCGACAGCCCAGCCAGGGCCCGTTTCTGGACTTGTTCGTACGGGCAGTCAGGCTGGGAGGGTTCGACTGTCTACATGAAGGCAACAAGCTTCGACTTGGAAAACGAACGGACTGCTTCGAGCGCACAAAAGAGCAGAAAACTAAGGGCCCATAAAACCATCGAGTGGGAGTCGTGAAGAGTACGAACGTGGACACTGTGACCGTGGTGCAGATGTCCCCTGGCCCCCTTCCCGCCCCGCCCCCCTCCTTTCCGCCCCACCCACTGCGTGCTATCCCCCAAAAACCAATTAGCATTTTTTTTTTTTTGTCATACGAGACCGTCCTTTGCTTGTCGATGTTCTGCCTACGCACACCCACCCCGCAAACAAAAAAAAATTGCAACTAGATTTTGACCCTGTTCATCTTTGACAGCGCTGTGAAAGCTAAATACTGGCTGGACCAATTAGCTTTGTGGTTTCTGTCACTTGACTTCGCACTAGCGGATGCGTAAGGCACAAACATAACGGAAGCGGTGGCAGCAGCTCATTGGAACAGAAAAAGAATGTAGCATGTCAGTTCAAACAGTAACTTTAGACATCAGGCGATAAGGTGGCCGGGGAGAACAGCCAAAATGGCTTGGGACTTCAAAGCTGAACCCATATACCTAGAAACGAGAATGTTGGGGTTCTCGTCAGCGGATTGTGCCTACGGGAACTTACTCCGACATTGTAGGGAAAGGGAACACCAGCCCGAATTTTCTGAGAATAAACAGTGGCTGACTTGGACACAGTAGCGTGCCTCCACAGGAGCTGGTAACGCAAGGCGGTTGTAAACGCGTGAGATACATTGAAGCCTGCTGTTCACTGAAAATTGTGCTTTTTTAATATTTTCTAAACTGAAAAATTAGCTTGGCTGAAAGAGTGTGGATGAATATTTCGTGTGAAGTTTCAGTTTTGATTAGTTGGATGACAAAGAAAAAAGATGAAGTGGGTCAAGGCCGGGTAACAACCTTCAACGAGCGGTACTCTGAAACCTGCCCAAACGCAAGTACCGCATGTTTACAGCCAGTTGGTTTTAGTGGCTAAACCAGCCCCTATTTAGGCAATATATAGCAACCGTAAAAAATCCACAACTTCAGGAGAGTCGTGTTGTAAAGTTTGCCGTTGCCATATTTCGAATAGTATGCGTGCCTCTGCCACCCATGTGCATTCGTCGCATGTTCATGGGATTCAGTTCTGTCCCGGGTGGACAGCGCTAGATTCGTTCATATCGAACACCTGTTCCAGTCCTTTAGAGCTTTATAGATCCATCGCCGTAAAATTATTATCCTAAAATAATCGGTAGATATAGTACTGAATCTGTTTTGTTTTTGATGGGGCCCGAAATTCCCCCCACAAACACGCAGTAGATATTGCAGTTATTTTGCGTGTTCCTTTAAAGTAACGCAAAAGTAATTGAGTAAAGTAACGAAGTAATTAATCAGTTACTTTTACGGGGAGTAATTTGTAACGGTAATCCACTACTTTTTAGGCCAAGTAATTGTAATTGTAATTAATTACTTTTTTGGAGTAACGGGCACAAGTCTGGTGGTATAGCTGCCAACAGGCAAGAAAACTAGGGCAATTTTTTCCCAGGGGACAGTGCGATTGTCTTTCGCTTTTCTTTCAAAATTTTTGAAAAAACAAAACAAAAAAAAACGTTGTTTGGTTATTAAAGATAAGCTTTGTGTTTTGTATTTGTGAAAGCTTTCGAAGGTTCACCGCGTGACTGCGATATTACAGCGCCTTTCATGCAGATTATGCTAAACGAATCAAATGCACCAACGCCCTCCAGAGCAGATTTAAATTTAAAAGATGAGGTGCACCCCATGACCTCTCATCGGGTCGTGCCCGGGCCGGACCTGATCAGGTAGGCATCCCATCGGGCCGGGTCCGGGTCGGGTAAGACTTACAGCCATCTGGCAAGGGCCGGGCCGGGCCGGATCGAAAACGCGTGGTGCTCGTTAAAGGTGTACTCCGCCGATTTCTTCATGGTCCCCGATTTGCTTTAAATTTTGCTAAACTCGCCAAACAACATCGCCAAAATAGTATCCCAAATATTAGGTCAAAATAATTTTTTTTCACGGAGTTATTGAATTTACAATTTTGGTCCTCACCGTGTTTTTCAAACTGAAAGTCTCTACTGGCAACAATGAAAAAGTGACGTCATTGGAAGTGCAGGGGTTCACTCTTTGGACTGTAGAATTTGTTCCCAACTGATTTGAAGCAGTTTCATGGTGTCAAATGAATGCCTTGGAAGCTCGCCCCAGTCCCCGCGCTCCAGCACGGAACAAATAATTGGCATATTCTATTTTTAGACTACTCGCCTGACTGGCAAGCTGAACTTCCACTGACGTCACGGCCCTGAAAAGGGCGGGTATATTTGAATGTCTGTTTTTGCATCATTTTCATTTGCAGATTTCGCAATAACTATTATGAATTTCACGATATTAAATAGCATTCCAGAAAGGGTAAAGGCCTGGGAGTCAGAAAATATAGTTAGTTGAGGTAGTTCAAAAATCGGCGGAGTACACCTTTAAGGACATCAAGATAGCGGTTGTACTGCACAGGCTAAATGTCTCACCTATAGCTAAGAGACAAGTCACCCGTGGAGGCGTACTAGCATCAAGGCTGTCTAAACAGACAAGAAACACGCTTTTTTACACGCTCCTGTTTTTGTGGAAAAAAATATAAATTATGACGCTAATATTTTTTTTAAATGGAAGAGCACGTTTGCTAAAGGAAGGTGTCTATAAAATATATCTCATAGCGGCATATGATCTGCTTCGTATAGTGCATTGCCCCAGGTTAATTAAACCCAGCATGGCCGCCGTAATAAACGTATTCTAAAAAATAAATCCTGCGCTCTCCGCTTTGTTACGTCAGCTGCGTCACTGGCCCTCGGCCAAGCGAGGGCTGTGTTCCAAAATTTAGTCGATCCAATTCCGGAGTGAATGCTTTGTACCATGGCGTTTCAAAACGTTCTAGCGCTTACTCGATGACGTCACAACTAGCGTTCCAGGAGTGGCTTGTTTATTCCGGAGTAATTACTTACGCTATCCTCCTCGATCGGTGGGTAACGTCGGATCAAATCGAATAAATACGTCACGTGATCTGTTCGCCGTCTGCTCGTAGTCTGTTTTCTGCACCCACAGCCGTCAAAGCTCGTTTGCTCTGTTGAGTTTGGTGGCAGACGTTCGAAATGAGAGAGAATGAGGTGCAGCTATTTTTGTGCGGTTATTGCGATTTGCTGTGTTCAACGCACGCACCACATACAGACCGTGCACCTTCCGCAGGAAGGTAAACCTTTTGTTATCACCAGAGCGCGAGCGTAAACGGGAGCTCCTCCGTATCCTCGTCCTCGGCAGTGGAAGAGCTTCGTATTCTTAAGTTCAAGGCTGCAAATGTTCGAACGCAGTAAATAATGTGGAAGCCTTGTTTGTTTTGTTTCCCCAAAGCGCGTATAATTAGTGGATTACGCTTGTAACTTAGTGAAGGCTTCGAAGATTTCATGCAAATGACCAGTCAACAACCCTTTGGATCTTTTCTTTGTGATATTGTAATCATATTCGGGTAAAAGCGAACATAAGTTACATATCATTGTTTCGAAAGCCCCTGCGGTGTACCGCTACACCGTGTGGAAGCAATTTCCGCAAAACGAAACTGGTGCAAATTACGATTCGTGGAGCATAAGCATTTAAGGCACCTGGACTAGGCTTACAGCGGTTGTACTGATTAATCAAAACAAATTTTGATGTCCAACTCTAAGGAGTTAGTCATTTTGATCTCAAAATAC